TATATATATATATATAACACTACTTGATTTTTAGAGCAAATCAAGTAACCGTAAAGAAAATTATTAAATAAACAGTAATTCTGTAATAAGTTAGTCTAACAAGAATTCATAAAACTGTAATTTAAAAGCATAAAAGGTGAAAAAAATATTTTATCTTTTAAAAAAATTAGAGAAAATAAAACAATTAACCTACCTCTATTAATAATTACTATTCTTTAACAATATGTATTTATCTCTGGTTACAAAAGGAATCAAATTAGGAACCTTTTATTAATACTAGTATTACATTAAGGTACTACATTAAATTTAAAGTTTTTTAATTTGTTATTTAATTTAATATCTTGCCATTAAAGGTTTCTTTGTAACAAAAATTGTTCTCTTTTAAAATTAAAATAAAATGTAGACCCTAAAATTTTTTAACTAAGTACTATCTTAAGAAGCCCATAAAATCCCAATTAAACCCACGAATGTTGTTTCTTTTTTATTTTATTTTTTAATGAAAGCACAGGCTTTTTTTAATTCTGGCATAAACGGAAAAAAACTTTAAAAGTATAACCTTGAGCTGTCTCTTGATTCACTTGTTTGGAGGCAGTTACAATCTGCTCTAAACATTGATGCCATTCTGGTTTTTCAGTCTGACTTTCAAGTTGAGGCAGAGTAATGTTCTCAGCAATGTTCCTCTTTATTGTTCGCTGAAATTGAATTTTTTTTTAAACTATCATGTATAAATACACACTCAAGCAAAGAGAGAGTAATAAAACAAAAAATTTTCAACATCGAAATTTTTTTCGAACTTTTAATGTATCAACTTAAAAAAAAAAGTTTGAAACTAATGAAGTTACTTGATAGTAATACTACAAAATATGCTCAGTAGTATGGTGTTAATATGACATAAAATTTTTATTCTGACTTATTGTCTAAAACTCCATTTGCATAGTAATGCATCGTAAAATAAGGTATCATTAATCGTGCGTGTAAAAAAATACTAGTAATAATAATCATACAAGGAAAGAGTAGAAATCATAAACAACAGCTTAATTAGTTTACTAATTCTATCTAGCGCGATTTTTCTAAATTTTAATTAAACTATAACCCTTCCAGTTGATTCCTTTTTCAGATTTTTTAATCTTTTTCTCGTGCTTATACCCAAAACTAGGAACTATTTTGGCAAAGGTACCGATGTAGAAATTTTCTCCAAACTTTATCCCATTTGGACTATGTTATTCTGAAGCTCTCTGAAGTGAGAAGCTTATTTCTTGTTTATTTCCCACAAAACAGTTTGACGAAATAATAACTTTATTGATTTAGGAAATTTTAACTGACGCAGCACTAAAATATTTCAAAATTGTGACCTGCCAAAAATTAAGTTAACTTTAGTTTCAGAAACAGGAACATCAGAGAGGGGTCATACGAATATCTAAATCAAATCAAGACACTCATAAAAAACAATTTCTACGTGAAAGTAACATGATGATGATCAAACCTTTCTTTGAAATCCACTCATTCTTAATATTTGACTGAAAATCCCGTCTTTAAATAAAATTATACAAACAGGAAAAGCTTATAAATGCTTCCAGCGTTGTGTTGTCATGACAACAGTTGAATGTATTTATATCTTTACTCCTAATAATATTTGTAGCTTTTAGCTTATATTTATGTGGCTGTAAGCTTATAATTGCATTTATTTTACAATACTAGCATTTTGAAAGAACAGTAATAGACAGCTGGAAACGAGACTAATAATTATATCAAGTTAGTAGGGCCAAAATAAGTATCTCTGGACGGTCGGGCAGAAATAATATCCTGTCTTCTTCTGTGCCGATTAAAAAATGGAGACCTCGTGGTGACAAAAATAATGGTTTAATTACAAGATATACGAAAGCTTATGGTGCGAATTAATCCAAAAGTAGCCCTTAAATTATAAAAAGTTGTTCTCAAAAGTATAGTAAGCTAAGAATCAATTAAATCAGGCAGTAAATCTGAATCAATGCGAGCTACAAACAAGTCATTTTGATGCAAAAAAAGGTCCGAATCTGCCTGTCGTAACTTTCCTAAAGTCGGTGCAGTCAGTGTGCGTAATTAGTGTAGTGTGTAAACTCTGTTATTATAATTTGACTGAATATCTCTGAAAGAAAACACTGTTGGTTTTTTCTAATTGTTTTTATGAACTGGTTTTACGATCTTGTGCGTAAAAGATTGAATATGGTCAGAACCACGTGAAATTTTTTACAATTGTCTCATAGGAAGGTTACATACTTCTTCTGTTTTTATGGAAGTAAGATAAAAAAGTTTCTATACAACTTATGTTGATTTTAGTATTTACTATTCTTCAATATTACCTCTTTACTATAATACATTTACTTATTCATTCATACTGCTGAAGGTTTCTTTCTGCATTTATGATGTTAAAAAACTGCATTTTTTGCAAATATTCTTTAATTCTACTGACTTTCTGAGATAAATGAGGAGTTATAATTCAAAGTTATGCATTTAACTTCCATTGACTATTGCATTAAAAACTGTTAGCAATAAATATACACAAACATATAAAAGCCTTATTAAATATATATTTGGAAGCAAGTTAGTAGAGTGACAACTTTATTTTCTGATCATATTTTTGAAAGATTTCCCGAACTCTGTTATTTATTATCCCTTGATTCTTGTGTGTTATTTTAATGGTAAATTATTTAAAGCCTGTTATAATGTTGAAAATAGCAGACAAGAAGGTAAATATATAAGGTTTGACAGAATAGTAAAATAGAGACTGACCTACTTTTTTAAATTTTGTAGAAGCTGCTTTAATATGCTTTCGTTTGCACAAATTTTGCTGACTAGGACCATTCTTAATGCAAAAAACTGTAGTGTGTCGTAGATTAATCGAAACAGTTTGTATGCTAGATGAAATGAGACTTTCATGTTTTATATTAATAAAAATTCTGCTTTGTTATGTGGACATTCTCATATAAATCATTATTTTTAGTTTTCAAAAAAATTCTTCATTTAATTAAGTAAGAGTTTCTCGTTTATTCTGACAATTCCTGAATTATATTAGCAGGGGTCTGTCCAGACATTTTGTGAAAGGTCTGTTTTTGTAAAATTGTGAAAAAATTACTCGTAATTTTTTGAATATAAAATAAAGGTTAAGTCACATTCTTTCAAACAGGGTCCGGCTTTTATGAATTTGTGCAAATAGGGTCCTGTTATTGCAAAAATCTTTTTTAAAGAGTTTTTAATTTTGTAAATAGATACAAAATTATGCACAACAATGTAAAATGATAATTTAAAAAAATTAAATTTTCAAAAATAAGCAGCCAGCAATTGGGATATCTAAAGTGTTACAACCATTACGTTTTAATTATCTCCCCATTACGTGTTAGTTTAAATTTTAAATGGTTTTAAAAAATGTTTTTGTACCTATCAATATTTTCATTGCATTTTTTATCCTTAATTTTTTTAAGACTACTGTCAGTTCACGACTATCTTTGCTTGCTGCTGGAGCCATAGACTTTTGTCCCAGTGAGAATAAAATAACGTCATCAACGGATTCTGACGGACGTTTAACTGCCATATTCACTCCAAAAGATTTTCAGAAGCATCTTGTTGATCAAAACAAGAATTCTTTAAGTAAGTATACCAAGTTGTGAGTGTCTCCTAGATCTCTAGTTGTATTCTACAGTGATTCAGTATTTCTGCCTTGGTGACTCTATTTTTGTAAAAATATTTAGCACAATTTAAATTTTTGTAAAAGAAGTATATATATTTCAAGACAGTGTTTCCATTACAGAAAAATAATGAGAGAGAATTTCCCGCCCTTGCTCAGAAACAGGGTGAGATTTCAAAAAGTTAAGTGAGATTTGCAAAAATTTAAAAAAAAACACGAATAGACTTGGAAAAAAATATTTCATTAATTATAATACATTTTTATAATCTAATTTTTAAAGTATTGAATATTTTTGCTGCATCATCATATGGAAAATGTTCTATATATACTTTTTCGTCAGCTTTTCTCATTAGGTTGCTCAGATGTTTATCAGTCATTTGTCTATGATATTTTGTCTTAATTCGGTTTTGAGTGCTAAATGACCTTGCAACAGATGTTGAACAATTCGGAATCACTAAGTAAATTTGTAGCATTGAAAAAATCTGAACGTCTTACATGAAGAAATCTTACCTTCGGTGAACACGTAGTTGCAGAGAAATGTGTTCTGAAAGGAGTTCCGTCATTCGGAGGGGGGGGGGCATTGTGTTCTGCTGTTCGCACCGGTTCTGAACAATACTGGTAAATAGGGAAGCTAGATAACAAGGATCGATGTTGAAAATAATAAAAGATCAAGGTAGAAAAGTGAAACGGATTTTATTCAAAATGGCAGAAGACGAAATTTTTTCCAAAACTCGCTAGATTCGCGCATTTTGAAATTGATTAATAGAGTGTGTAATCTCGCGTTATTCATTTTTGAATGCGAGAAATAAGGGGGATTCTCGCTCTAGTGAAAACACTGCATAAAATGTATTTCTAATATCAAGTTTTAAAAAAATATTATATTAAATATTTAATACAAACACAAACAGTACATATTTCATAACTAACTTATTAAGTTGTGTAAAATTTAAAAATGAATGTGCAGCCCTGTTCAAAATATAATTCAATTTGTGTATTGAATTATTCTTTGGGAAGATATCGCTCAATAAAAAGATAAGTTCCAATTTGTTTGTAAAAATGTGACACTTTTCTGTTAGGTGCATATTTTTTTTATGGACTTTATTATGTTTTGTGTTGAAAAAAATAGTTACTGGTTTATGGAAGATTGACAAAAAAAATTATCTCTTTTTTTTTTTTTAATTTTTACTATTGATATTGCTTTTGAGAAGGTAACTATTTTATTAATGAGATTTATTAAAAATTAGTGAAAGTGGCATGTCTTAATCTGTGTTTTTTCTTTTTAAAAATAGTATTGTCTCACATAAATTTTTAGTCTTTTTATCTATCTCTCACTCTAACCTTAACTTGGTTAAGATCAGGTATCTATTTGACAAACAATAGTCAGGAAAATAAAAAATAATCATTACTTGTTTACCATTATCTGATCTACTGAAAGTTCATATTTTTATTCATTAAATGTCAACAGCAATTCGGTTTTTGTCATTATTTCAATTTTTATATGTATTTGTAACATGATTAGATAAATATACAAATATATTTTAAACATTGAATGACCATTGTGCTATTAAATATATTAATAAAGAAATTTGACCGACAAAGTAAGAACAAAAAATTATTTAACTTTTTTTTTTTTTTTTATGGTTATAATTTGTACAGAGCTTTTAAGTGTAATATCTTACTTATTGAAAAAATTATTTTATGCTGTGGAAAAATTGCAAATCTGTTAATAGGTAACTGTTTCTTTTTCTTTTCTCCCCGTTCTTTGCGCACATTGTAAATCTTGGGTATCATTAAAACTTTTTGATTTATTGATTTTTTCAGATAATGGCTATATTACCTTAAATGGAAATAAAGAACAATCTTTTGTTAAAGCTAATGAGGAAAGGATCAGAACAAGCAGTTATAATGGCAAAGTTGTAGAAGATGGTATGATGATTTTAAATTTTTCATAGTTTAACACATTTCTACTAATGAACAACTTGTTTTTGAAACAGCTTTGCTCTTTTAAAATTTTACGTGCGAAAATATAATATCTACTGCAGTGGGAAGTCGCGTATCCGGAATCAGTGGGACTTTTGGTAGTCCGGATATTAGATTTTTCCGTATAATAGACCCCCAAGGTGAACAAAACTTGAAATGATCAAATAAACGATCTGAATCTAAGAAGCAAAAAATTAATAAACATTATTTTTCGGGCAATAATGTTTTAGTATTAGAATGATATCTAATCAATCAAAAACAAAATATTAGAAAATAATAATTATTGCTTAAAATATAGAAAACGAAACAAAAAATTGACAGTTAAGAAAACATTAATTGCTCTCTCCACCATTTTGAACTAGAAGGAATCAAGTGAGAAGGGGAAATTCCTGTCATTCATTAAGCTGAGTAGGTGGAGAAGAAAATTAATTTCCTCCTTACTTGTTATTCAAGTTGAGGGTGGGGCAGTGACAAATTCTTATTTTCTCTCCCATCATCCCAATCAAGCATAAAGGTGCTGCATGCTGATTGGGTTCCCTTTTTTTTTTCCTTGTGTGACTGAAAGTGACTCCCCCTCCACTTTAACATTTGATATGTTTACCCTTTTTCAGAGTATTTCTTCTTCCCCTGACACTCTAATAAAATAGTTCCAAGAAATGCCTCTTTTACAGCTGCATGGGAACGAAGGGGGGGAGGGGACTCAGTTGTGCTCTTTTGAAAACAAATCTCCCCCCTTTCCTGCATTCCTGAGGAGGAGCCTTGTTTATGCTTACGGTCTTGGGAGGTCTTCTCTTCCCCTTTCTGTTGATTTATGGGTTTAATGCATGAATCACTAGAAGCTGGAAAAAGAAAAAAGCGTGTGTCCAAAGACTTTTTTTTTTAAGAGAGGGGGAAAGAATAGATGTTTATTTTGATTGTTAAAAAGTGTCCCGGAAATCGACCCTTCCGGAAAAGGGACGTCTGGATATGGGACGTTACACTGTATTTCAATTATGATCTGATTAATTTCCTGCAGATATATTCAGGGTATCCGCACACCTGGAAAGTCATGAATTTCAGTATTGAGCAAAATTTGTCATGAAAGGTCATGATTGCTATTTTTTTTAAAAAATTCATGGAAAGTCATGAATTAAGGTCTCCCAGTGTTGCAAGTGCTGCGCCGATCCGCGCCAATTGTGGAAACCTGCGCCTACATGCTCTGAATTGAAGATTGCGCTGATCTGCGCCAAAGGGGATATTTTCCCCTAGGTATCGCCAAGCCGCAATTTTTCGGCAACCAAGCTACTGCCATGTGGGGGGTTGCTCTGGATTCAGTGGGAAGGATTCTTGCATTTTGCAAGATATTCTCAATTTCAGGTTTCATTTTTCACTCTCTGAAATGGAGCCGAAACTTCCCTCGAATTTTTCGGGGACCAACTAAACGTTGTCAAATTTTGATAGCAAAAGAAAATTTTATTTCTCTTGTTAGTTTCATCGTTATTGAAGTGCCATCATCTTCGTCAATGGCAAACTAATGGCCTTCTTGCTCTATTTCATTCATAGAATGGTACCCATGATCTTGGAATTAACTTGGGGACCATTCACTAAGTACATGTTTTCATGTTGATCCTCAGTGCAGTCAAGAATCACAAAACTTCATAACCTCAAGATTTCCATCTCCCTTTTATTCATTTAATTAAATAAAGATAAGAATTTATTGAGTTTTTATATGTAAATTTTTATCTGAGGGACCATCCACAAATTGCATATTGTTTTTAAACATTTATTTTACTTTATTACTTTCTTTTACTAATATTTTTTTTTACTTATTGCATTTTATTATTGTGTTATTGCTTTCAAAATGTTCAGTGCTCTTATTTTGTTTAAGGAAAAAACTTAATAATATTTAGAGGCAAGATTTTAAATAAGTATGAAGAGGGGCTTTCAGAATTTTTAAAGCAGCAAAAAAAATCTTTCAGATTTGTCATTCAAAAATTCATCTCTTAATGATTTGATTTAAAACAATTATAATTATTTTCAATTATCACAGATTTGTTAAATATGTGTGTAGGGACAATATAATAATTTACTTCTGGCAAAATTTCTTTAGCTTCAATACTCATTGTATTTGCATTTAAAAATTATGTAATTTTTTTTAAATCATTTCATTAATCTTGTTTTAATTCTTTTTATTAAATATGCTCCAAATCTTTGTTTCGCTGCTCCAAAATTACATTTTTGTTGCTCCGAAACCAGGTTTTGCCACTTGCACCACGGGTCTCCGAAAAATCTAATTTTTAAAATGGAATCCCCCCCGCCCCGATTTCATCCTGTTCCGAATATCTGAATTCCTAACAAAATCACCACTCAGGCATATTTTAATTGAATATAAAATGATTTTATCGTGTTCTTTAAAAAATATGGTGTTCTTTCAAAAAATGAAAGAAAAAACATTTCTAGAGCTAATTATCTTTTAAACTTTTCTGTGATTTAAGAATTTTTATTATTTATTTTTATCAATTTAAAATTCTAGTTAAAGCAAACCAGTCATTGGCCAATTTTTTTTTTCGAAATGAGAACAGAAAAATCAGGAGTATTTCTTTCCTTTCAGATGAACAAGAAAAGTATCTTTAGAAAAAATTATTTGCTTTTGTATTTTTTTCAACTATTTTATTGTTTCAACCAGGGTTGGCAAGGTTTAGGACGGAATGGATTAATCCACGGTTTAAACCGTCCTGTCCAAAACCCCTTTGTCTTAAACTGTCCAGAACCCTTTTACTCAAATTATGTCACAATTTTATCTGAACAATATTTAATAAACATAGAACTACAGTAGAACTCCAATTATCTGAACTCCAACTATCCGAATCGCTTTCAGAATTCCTATGGAAATACAGTAAAAAGATAAGTTTCTCTTTTTTTTTTCTTTTCTTATATGAATAAACTAAAATGTTAGTAAAGCCAAGGAAAGATTTACGCAGAGAAAGTTTACTGGATAGGACAAAGATAAATAAAAGGAATAACAAAGGAGGAGGAATCCAGTCACAAAAGAGCACATGGGAGACTGTATGAATAAGGATGTTAGTTGTGGAATGTTATCTTAGGAATGTTGTTTGTTGACAAAGAAATGTGAATGCTAGAGTCAAAATGTCAAAAAACTTCCCCTATTTTATAAAAACCAATGCAAAGCTAGGATGACTGCAGCACTGTTTACAGAGTAGTACGATTCATTCCTGAAGTGAAAAAACGCCAAAATTCTCTTGGAAAAGAATGAAGTCCTGTGCTTTTGATTGTTGATAATGCACCAACTAATCTACAGAAGAATTGTTAGAAAGAGGAAATGGCCAATTTAAAACAATCTTTTTGCCACCAAACGTAACAAGCTTGTTGCAACCAATGGACCAATCTGTTATTGAAACAATGAAGCCTCTTTACCGAAGACAACTTTTAAGGAAGCTTTTAGTAGAGGGAAAGGATGAAGAAGGTGTGTTGGATAACCACAAAAAGATATATTTGAAAGATTGGTACATGGTTGCGGAGGCTTGGAATTTGGTTAAAGATGCCTCATTAAGACGTGCATGGAACAAGTTAAAAGGCGTATCAACTAAAGAAGGGAAGGAAAAAGAGAAAAGGGGGAAAAAAGAAGTTAACGAGAAAAAAAAAAGGGAAGAGACAGAAGATGAGGATGCCGTATCTCTTGAGGAATTCAGAAACATATTTTTGAAAATTCCTGGATGTTCAGATGTCAGTGCTGAAGATATAGGAGAGTGGATGGCGTGTGATTTATCAGACTGTGGATTTCAAATTTTAAATGATGATGAATTTATTGAAAATGTGATGGAGGAAAGTGTCGATGAAGAAGATGACCCTAATGCTGAAATTGAGGAAAACACAGGGCCGTCAGCAAGTGAAGCATTTGCTGGCCTTGAAACTGCATTGAAGTGAATGGAGCACCAACCCGAGTGTGACTATTTGCAACTTCTCACTGTCAACCGAATGTGCGACTTAGCTGCCCGAACCGGGTGAAGACAGTTAAACAGCTTACTTTAACTGAGATGTTCAGCATGTAATAACTTTCATTTACTGCAAGGTATGTACACATTATTCATAAAAAGATCTCTTTCCTTAAAAACAGTTCTTTTCCCTCATTTCCACTATACATACAGTAATTATTTAAAATAAGCATTTTTTTTAAAAAAATTCCAATTATCCGAATTTTTGATTATCCGAATGGGGTCCGGTCCCAATTGTTTCGGATAATTGGAGTTCTACTGTAATAACATATTGATAATTAGATATACTAGAGAATATTTGTTTTTAAAAGTAAAATGTTTTATTAATATTGTTTGACTCTTCAATTTAAACAAAGGAAGATTAATCAGTAATCAAATTCAATTGGTCCTCTCATTCAATAGTACATAACTGAAGTTTGGCCTTGCCATACAGGTTAAAATATTAGGGTCCAAGTGCTTGGTTCGTCATAAACAGGTTTATTTATCTGTAGTACTATTCAAGAATACTTTATTTCATTCATGTTCAATTCTTTTAGCATAGTGGTGATACATCACCAGTGTCAGTAACTGAAACTGATGTTATGCCCTTCAAAACTGTTAATACATTTTTCAGTTACTTTATATTTTCAATTTAAACTAATATATTTATATTTAAAAACAATTTTTTTTAAAATAGATGTCTTTTTTATCATCCTGTGATGCAGAAATTATAAAATTTTTTTAAAAAAATATTGTGAAAAATAAAAGGTTAATTTTTGAACAAATTTAGTATTTTTTTTAAGAAAAATTATTATTTTTTAATATTGCCATATTTATCCTTATGCAAAAATATTATTTATCAGTATTAAAAGCATATTTATATTTAAAGGATTAGGTATTCACTTTTGTTGTTCAATGAATTGTGGAGCTTCAAAAATTATAAACCTTTTCCTATTATATTATATTATTTTCTTTTAATAAGTTATAGTAAATTGTATAAAAAATATCAAATATTTATTGATACATGTAATTATTATGTGTACAATGGTTACACCTATAGAATTTTTACCTTTTACCAAAGTTCAAGGTTTTGGACACTTTAAGACAGTTTAACCCAGTTTAGGACAGTTTTACCCAGTTTAGGACAGTTTTACCCAGTTTAAGACAGTAAAACCCACGTGTCCTGTCCAAAACCAGTTTAGGACGTCCAAAACCCCAACCCTGGTTTCAACTCTTTCTTTACTCTGTTTTTTAAATTAAAAATCTATAAATAAGAAGATGCAGAGTATAGCAGTTTTGGTTATACCTATCATTTCAATTAATGTTATTATAATGCTTTTTTAATTTATTTGCTGCGTTTTTATCGGAGAAAATAGTAACTTCGTTAAGTCATGAAAAATTCTTGGAATTAGTCATGGAAAAGTCATGAATTTAAAAATCTAAAATCATGCAGATACCCTGAATATTTCATCCGTAACAGACTAATTAAGAGTATGATTTAGTGACCTAAGCAGGACAATAAGAAGTGCATCCTTTGTATAAAGAAATTCCTAGCCTTTGATAATTAACTGGGCTGATTTCATTTTTATACCTTAATTTTGTGGAGAAACACTGCAGCATTTATGATTTAAAACTTACAAATTTTGGCATGCGCTGCGTATTGAATAGGGCAGCCTAGCCTTTTAGAAATTTGAAATTAGTAAAAAAGAATGCTCCTGATTGTTTTGTAGTATAATTTTGCTCAAAACAAGTTTTATTTCATTTAATTATTATTAATATTTTTTTTAATTATTGTAAGGATTTTTTTTCTTTAATAATTTTATTTAATAATATTTAGGAATTTCAAATCAAATTACGATAAATCGGCGTGGGGCGATTGTTCTCTTAGGTATAATTTTGCACCTTGTAAAATTCTTTTAATCCATTTATTGTATTTTGATGCCTTATCTTTATTATAAATCTTAAGCACATTATTTACATGAAATTAAAGTATTTTAAATTGATATTCGTTTACGTAATGACGATTGTGCTGCATTTGAAACATTTTTATGAAAATTATTGATTCTCAGAATATCTGCTTTGAAGTAAGACTGCATATATTAATTTATTGTATATTTAATGATTTTATGTATAGCTTATAATTTAAAGCAGATGCGTTAACTCCTTGATCGTTCACACGGTAAAATTTTGTGCGGCATATCCGATGCCGATGGGGAAGCTTTTTGATCAAATTTTATGCTTTCGGTGTTATCTCTACCAAATTACGGTGCATTTAAAGTTAAGGCAATATTTTTCCTATTCGTTCTGTAAAAATATCCGTTGTATGAGTTGATATAAGGATACTGGACTGCATTTTTAACGCAAGTAAAAGAATTTTTTAAGAAAAGGCAGGTCAAATGTTAACTGTATGCAATATTTTTGTATACATTGATTGAGAAGAATAAATTACGTATTTACCATTAATTACAAATAATAAAGTGGGGTGAAAAAAGTAAATATTTGAATTTCGAAATACTTTTGTGCAAAAAAGTTGCTTGTTGTAATGAGAAAACTAAATCTGAAATATGGAATGAAAACTAATACTTCAGTTTACCAGTTTTTCATATTTTCTCTGCGAGTTAATGAGATTTCCAAGTAAAGATGGTTGTATGTCGAATTCCAACTGTATCCTACCCAACCATCTAATTTTTTTCGTGGAATATCTATATTAATAGTTATATACAATAATTTTCATTGGAGTTGCTTACTGTCAGGGGTCGCATTCCCCCTAAAATTCATAAAATTCCTAAAAGTATGTGCAAACCCTAAAATTCCTAAAAATCTGATAAAATTTTGTTGGTGTTCCTAAAAAATTAGAGTTATAGGCTAAATATAAATAAAAAAGCAATAATCTAAAATATAAGAATTTAACTACATTAATTAAAACTGTTTTAATTTTGCCACATGGGAATTCTGATCCTGAGAGAGGTTTTTCGATAAATAAAGCAATGCTTAATGTGAGTCACCATGAGAATACTATTATGTCTCTTAGACTAATCAAAGATACCATTCGAAATTATGGAGGAGTGTTGAATATCACCACAACACTATTGTGGGCAGTAAAAGAATCTCACAAATCATATCAAGAATATTTTAGAAAAATGATCCTGATTAATTTGTTTTTCTCTAACTTCTAATATAAATTGCTGATTTGAAATCTAATAATATCACACAATAATTTTTCTTAATAAAGTAAGGTAAAGGGTAATAATAAAGTAATTGTAATAATCTTCTGTTATGTAATAAACTACCGTGTGATCTGTTTTTATCCTAGCAAAATCATATATTACCCCTAAAATTTACCTAAAATTTTTTGAAAAAAGTTCCTATAATTTTAAAAAAAACTTTGCTGCTACCCCTGTACTGTATTAATGTTCAATTTTCTCTATCTTCTAAAGTCTGATTTTTTGGAGAAACAGTGTTCATTCTAGGCCTTTAAAAAAACAAGGCACTAGAAACTGGAAAAGACATTGTTACAAATATTTGCTTAACTAAAGACCCCAAAAAACATTCAAAGTTTTAATTTTATCTTTAAAAAATCCTTTTTTTTTTAATTATAGTTTAAATTAAAAATAATTCCTTGCTTAAATTCTCACATTCTATAAATTAGTTTTAAATGAGCATAATTCTTGAATTTCAAAAATGTTGCATGTCGTAATAATAACTTATTAAAAATATTGGGATTTTGAAAACGGTGTTGAAGTGAATGAAAAACCGGTTAGTAATTGTAATATCAACAACACTAAGATCTAGATCAGCTAAACCTCTTTTCCCAAAAAATCAGAATTCAAATGTGTTGTAGATATTTAAACAGAAAAAAAAAACTCAGCAATGCAGTAAGTGAAAAAATTTTACTCCATTGAAAATGTTTGTTAAAAAAATTATTACTTAAAGATGAGATTTTCAAGCCATAACAGCGAATTAATTAAAATGGAATTGTCTCGAATTGAATGCTTCTAAAAAACAACAGCTCAAGTTCAAAATTCGCAAATTATAATAACGTATTAAATGTATTTTGAAATTTAAAGAACCATGGGAAAACTATTAAAAATTAATGATAGCCAAATAAATTTTTTCATAAATTAGAGTGGTACATAATCAGGTTTGAAGGCTAAACAGAGCAGAAATCTTTTGTTCAAAGGGCAAACATGGTGGCCTGCTTTGCAAACCCTGTCTAGAATAAGCACATTTCCATTTTGCCTTTAAAATCAGAAACTTCTCTTTTTTTTTAAAGAAAAATTTATCTTTGCAGGAAAATCCTATATAACTTTAAATGGAGATAAAGGAAAAACATTTGGAAATCCACATAAAGATAAACTTGGGAATAATAATTGCAATGACAAAACTGCTAAAGATGGTAATCCTATTTTATAACCTTTTCTTTTTTACCTAAATTCTTTCTTACTGTAAGAACATTGGTACCTAACAATATTAAACTTTTGAGTTACAGATAACAATTTTTTTTCCTATATTTTTATTGAAGCAGAACAGGGGTCTTTTTAGAAGAAATTTTGGTCCTTTAACGAACCCTTTGCAAAATATCTTTCCGTAAAAACGGACCATTCACGAAATAATTTATCTTTTAATTGCACTCTTTACAAATTTGTTTATCTTCATTATTGTTTTGTTAATCGAATAAACACTTCCCGAGAGAAGAAGAAAACGAAAGACTGTTCAAAATGAACTAAGTTTTCCAATTTCCCTAAGTTTAAATTCCAAATGTAGTATTCTAAGAAAATATTTCTGATGTTGCAAACATCATGTGCACATTCTTATTGATATTAAATGATATATTATTTTGTAAATAAATAAATGATCAATTTATATTTATTCATAAAATTAATTGAGCATTATGTAAATAAAAATTAATTTCAGGCAATTTTTTAAATAAAATATTATACATTTAAGAATTATTTAAATTTACTTAGTGCATAACACATTAAAAGTGATACATAACTAAATTGTGTTATTTAAAATATGTCAATTGAAATTATTAAAAATGTGAGTGATTTTGTTTCCATTATTCGTCCGAAATGAATATTCTGCATTGAGCAGTAGAGGCTAAATACCAAATATTTGTATGTTGCATCTCTAAGGTCCCTATTTACACAAATTCACAAAAGCAGGACCTTGGTTGAAAGAATGTGACTTAATGCTTATTTTATATTCACAAATAATGAGTAGTTTTTTCACAATTTTACAAAAACAGGACCTCTCACAAAATGTCTAGACAGACCCCTGCAGTATGTATTCTTTCTAGGCAATGTGTTCATATTATATATAGATATATATGTTATCATTTATGAATATTTTTTTCCCCTTAAAATGAGGATTTTATTTAGAAATTGATCAATTTGTATCCTCCTGAAATTCTGATGTTTGTTTTTTTTTACAGGAAATGCCTACATAACATTAAATGGAAATAAAGAAAAATGTCTAGTAGTTAATGCCAACAAGGAAAAAAATGTAACTATCAACAGCTGTAAGGAGAGAGTTGTGGAAGATGGTATTCCCATTCCAAAGCAAATTATTTATTCTGGAAAGATCCAATTAAGTTGGAAGCAACCACGTAAGATTGGTGCTGGTTTGGAGAATATGGGAAACACATGTTTCATGAATACGGTTGTTCAATGCCTAACCTACTGTCCACCTCTTGTCAACCATCTTTTGTATGATTCTGATCATTCCTCAAAATGTTAGTATATTTCCTCAATTCTTATCATTTATAGTAGTTGTGCCTAACAAGGTGCTTGAAAATTGCTTAACAACCCATGACCTAAAATGTTATTGTATGCTGTCAGGGAATCCTTACCATTATGGACTGGCTGTACCAATACTTTTATTTAATCAAAACTATCTTAATTTTATGCTTCGTGGAGGGTCCAACCTACCCAGTGTTTTCACCACAGCGCGAGAACGCGAGAATCTCGCATATTTTTTTCTTTTCTCGCATTAAAAAATTATTATCGCGAGAAATTCGCGCATTCGATAAATCNCACCCATTTTTTTCTATGATGAAAACACTGAACCTACCTTAATAAGTTATTATCCATAGAAAATAATTTATATCTGAATGAGATAGCTCATAAACGATAATAGTTGTTAACGAAAATAGCAATAATGAAAATGGTTATTTAAATGATTACGAATGACTCATAGTATTCCAAAATATGGTTACAATTAACACCATAAAACAATATTTATAGCAGAATGCCGATACCAGTGAAGCTCAAAATCGCCAACGACATCAACACTCTTAATGATTCTTTTCAAACATTACATTGAATTGAAGTCTCTAAGTAGATGCTTTATCGACATTTAATCATTTGTCGATAAATTTATAGAGTTAATCAAATTGTTTACCAAATAATTTTATAAGGATGAAACAACTGTTTCTAATGCAATCATTATAAAATATAAAATTACGACAGGATCGATTCAAATGCTCGTAATATTTCCATATGAAGACCAGCTCGCTATGGTGACAAGACCACTTGCTGTTTTGAATTGTTATATTTCGCCTCTAGGCTAGTATTTACAGCAATACTCAGTGCAATTGGCTAGTATTTACAGCAACATTCGCTGCTATCAATCATGCGAACACAGTGTTTTTATCATAGAAAAAAAATGGATGAGAATATCTCGCCCTTTCTCAAAAACAGGGTGAGATTTCAAAAAGTTAGGTGAGATTTCTAAAAACTAAAAAAAAACACAAAAACTCTTGGGAAAAAAAATCATTTCTTTAATTATAATACATTTTTAAGGTCTTCTATTTTTTAAAGCATTGAATATTTTTGGTGCATCATCATAGAAGATTTTGCCTTTACAAGGTATTTGTCCATCTTACATTAGCACATAAAAAATTTGAATGTCTTACATGAAGAAACCTTACCTACGGTAAACATGTGGTTACAGAGAAATTAGTTCTGAAAGAGGTTCCGTGGTTCGGAGAGATGGTGTTCTGTTGTTCTTAAAGGTTCTGAACAATACTGGTAAATAGGGAAGCTAGATAACGGGGCAGATGTTGAAAATAATGAAATATCCGGGAAGAAAAGTTAAACGGATTTTATTCTGAATGGCATAATTCGGGGCTTTTTACAAAATGCAAGAAATTCGCGAATTTTGAAATTGGTTTATAGAATGTGCGAATTTCTCGCGGTAATCATTTTTTAATGCGAGAAAAGAAAAAAATATGCGAGATTCTCGCACTGTAGTGAAAACACTGCAACAGTTGTGCACTTTGTTTAATTTTTTTTTTTTTAATTTGTTATTTTAACGTTAAATGTGGGTCTTAGTATGTAATGACCAACTCGCTACAATGGCAATAATGCCTGCTATTTTGAATTTTTATTTAACAAACTTTTACTGTATGTGCTTATAATCACGGAGTGCTAATATCTTCTTTTTTTTTATTCTTGTAGGCACTATCACCGGATTTTGTATGATGTGTGTTCTCCATAGACACATTAAAAGAGCTTTAGATAACTCTAATGATGTCATTAGGCCTACTGAATTGTTTCAAAGACTAAGAAGTAAGATTATTAGTCAACATATGAGAATGAAATTTCAGTTACACATTCGTAATTAATAAAATAAAAAACTATGTTTTAATTTTGCAGCAATAGCAAAGCACTTCCAACATGGTCGACAGGAAGACGCTCATGAATATCTTCGCTACGTGATCGATAATTTGTGGCGGTCGTGTTTGTTGCAGAATAATTTTCATTCCAAGTAATTATTTCTTTTTTTTTAACCATATTTTCTCATTTGAATATGTACAGCAGAATTAATGCAGGAATTGGTAATATTTTTGATTTAAAAAATTTTTCAATTTTACCTTTGATTGTTAGTTTTTGTAATAAATATACTCATAATTGTATAAATTAGTGAATATTCTTTGTTTACGTGACTAAATATAATGAGTTAAGAAAATCAGCAAGAAAATTGCCTAGTTATAATGTTATTTAGAGAGAAAACAGTGTCTAATGTATATCTTTTGGAAAGCTCAGTTTGGCAAATTTGATGATGAAATTTCAGTCCTGGAAACTTCAAGGTTTTAACAGTTAGGACCAGCACTTATGGAGTTACACGAAAATAGTCTCAAATTATTTCGAAAGCTTCAGGATTTCATTGTCAAGCCTTTATAAATAGAAGTGTGCGTCTAAAAAGATAGTAGTTATCTGCTTTTGACTGCCATAGTGTGCTAACCCGAATTACAGTGGTTCTTGTCTCTGTGGACTGTTTTTACAGAGTGGACACCATATTTTTTGAAACCCACTGATTCCTACGAGTAACGTTTGATTGGCCCGCCTCCGATCTTCTAACTCTCCGTCATCTTCGTCAAGGCGATAGGGCCATACTAATGATGGGTGACCAAAGAGATTTTTAAAAACAAGGATTGGGCTAAGCTACAGTGCTTCGATATGTTCCTACGCTACAAGCTGAACAAATTAAGTACAAAAATGCACCTCTGCTTGACAGTTGTCCATGAAGAACTTGACTATTATCTGTTATCTTGTTTGCTTAGAGGTGTTACTTATTTTTTGCTCTTTTACAAAAATGTTTATCCCTTTAATCGTCACAGTTTATAAAATTTGATTGCAAAGACTAGAGGTAGCTATATTAATAAAAATACTATTAGTTGACATTAGGTATTAAAGTTTCACATTGTTAATTGAAATTTACTTTCATTGTCCTAGTTATTTAATATTGGTTTTTTTCCCCTTTTTAAATTTAAAACATTTCTGAACTATTATTTAAACAAAGATACTGTAATTCTTTAGGAATTTTCTTGTTTTTTTTCTAAATTGCACTTTTAATTAACATATTTAATTTTTTAGTGAAGTCTTATATTTCTTTTTTTTTTTTTAAGATATTTATATCTTTCTTTTTCCATTTTCAGATTAGACTCTGCTTCAAAAGAAACAACTATTATAAACCAAATATTTGGTGGATATCATCGAAGTCAAGGTAAGAAATATTAACTCTAAATTAATTACCTTTTTATACATATATGTGTGTACTAAGTTTTTTGAAATTATTTATTTGAGCAACTGAAGTTTTCGAAAGCATTGGATTCCGCATAATCTTCACCTAAATTAAAATCTAAATTTTGTGTTTTTATTGTATTAACAAAATATTTTTTGTCATTATAACAAATGTTTTACAAAGATCATTTTCATTTATGTGCCAGTAATAAATTCAGAATTTTAGAAATTTTTATTTTTTAAACCACTTTTAGTAAGAAAAGAAACAATTTTTCGAATTCTTCAGCTTATCAGTCTATACCAATTTTTCAAATATGAAAAATGCCATTTATAAAAGCTTTCAATGAAATTGAATTAAATGATAAAGTTATTTTAAGTATAGGAATCAATATCATAATAAAGTAAATTTTAGTATGATATAAATTTAGTATGTGCTGCTAAAATTTATTGTAACTCTTTATTCATTATCTTTTTCTTTCTAGTAATATGTTCCAAATGCAAAGAAAGAAGTAATACTTTTGATCATTTCATGGATTTTATATTAGATATCAAGGTAATTATACATTTATTGAGATATTTTATTTACAGAACCCAATTTTATGCGAATAAGTTGTGACCAAACCTTCTGTTGTGTCTTATACAGGAAAAAAAAATACATAATTTACTTTGTTTGTTTACCACAAAAATAATATTGCTCACATATATGCTACAGGGTTCCCACGGTCCTTGAGAGTCCTTGAAAGTCCTTGAATTATTTTTTGCTAAATTTAGGTCCTTGAAAGTGCTTGAAAAACGTCTTAGGTCCTTGAAAAACTTGATAGGTCCTTGAATTTGTCCAATACTGCCGGCGGCCCTTTTTATAAAAC